TCCAAGACTTCAATCTTATCTTGGATTTGGCTTACTTACTCTAGTAGTTTCTAACATATATCTTATACCCGTGGCAAAATTTATTTCTTCTCCCTCATTGCCTGTCCACCTTGTATGTTTCTACCTTTCTGGCCTTGCTGATACTTCTCCATAGAATAGTCTTATTATTGCTTTCCACCATTTTTTTACATCATATCCATCCTGCAGTACTATTTGCTTTACCAGTTATCCTTTATTCCATTTTTTTTTCCTTCATTCGGGGAACTCTTTGCTTTACTTACTCCAAGAAAATCTGTAAAAATTATCTGAAATAATTATCCTCGCTAATCTATTTTATAGTAATTCTCATTTATATTTTAATTCTGTATCCATAACAAGATGATTAGTTCCCTAAAAACAGAAATAATATATTGACTTATTTGCTGGAGTATAGGTTAATAGTAATAGTTTTTAAATAATGTTATTTTACAGATACTCAATTTAAGTAAACATGCAAACCTAGAGACTCTTAAGTGTGGGAAGAAATCACTCTTTGCAGAGCTTCAATCCCTATTGTTCAGGATTTTGAAACAGTGAAACTAGTGAGGAAACCCAGTGTTTTATTTAGCGCACATTGCTTATTCTGAAAGAATGGGAGTGGAGGGGAAAAAAGTTGAACCAGGTGATAGTGCTGTTTCTATATGTCAAAAATAGTCAAACACTGAATATTTCAAATCATTCTACCTAAGTATGTAATAAATTTAACTGAACATCTTAAACCTAGTACTCACTATGCCACCACAAATAATAAATCTGTACATTAAACAGAATAACTGCCATCCTAATCATTTAAGCTATCATATATCTGAGATGTGTATATTTGTTGGGCAGCTACTGTATGCTCGTCACCGAACTAAGTGCTTAATTTGTCATTAACAACAGACAGACATAGACCCTACCTTTGAAGAGCTTATATTTTAGAGTATGCCTGTTGTGGTGTGGGGGCCTTCATAAACATACATGTAAAATGTAATTAAATTGTGGTAGGTAATATTTTCTAAAATATGAGAAAATTTTGGGGAGATCAGGAGGACATTTCAGAGGAAATGATGTTCAGCCTGATCTATGAAGAATGAGCTTAAGAGTTACCTAGGTAAGAAAAGGGGAAAAGGCAGAGGGAACACAGTGAGTGGGACCCATGTGTTTAGGAACAGGAAAGCTGCCAGGGTAGCTTGTTGGTGACAAGTGAACAGATAAGAACATTAGAGGAAATTAAACAGTCAAGAACCAAGTAGAGTAGGATCTGTAGCTAGAGTTACAGTTTTGTTTTGTATTTTAAGTACACTGGAAGCCATTAAAAAGACGGACATGAGTAGATTTATATCTTGAAAGATCATTCTACTCTGAAGACTGAATGATAGAGGTGTAGTGGGGATAAGACAAGAATACAAGAAAGGAGACAGATTAAGGGGCTGTTACAGAAGAAGCACAAGCTGGAATTAAGATTGCCAGGAGAACTATCAATAACCTCAGATATGCAGATGACACCACCCTTATGGCAGAAAGTGAAGAGGAACTAAAGAGCCTCTTGATGAAAGTGAAAGAGGAGAGTGAAAGTTGGCTTAAAACTCAACATTCAGAAAACTAAGGTCATGGCATCTGGTCCCATCACTTCATGGGAAATAGATGGGGAAAATAGTGGAAACAGTGTCAGACTTTATTTTTGGGGCTCCAAGGTCACTGCAGATGGTGATTGCAGATGTGAAATTAAAAGACGCTTACCCCTTGGAAGGAAAGTTATGACCAACCTAGGCAGCATATTAAAAAGCAGAGACAAAAAATAAAAAGCAGAGACATTACTTTGCCAGCAAAGATCCATCTAGTCAAGGCTATGGTTTTTCCAGTGGTCATGTGTGGATATGAGAGTTGGACTGTGAAGAAAGCTGAGCGCCGAAGAATTGATGCTTTTGAAGTATGGAGAAGACTCTTGAGAGTCCCTTGGACTGCAAGGAGATCCAACCAGTCCAACCTAAAGGAGATCAGTCCTGGGTGTTCATTGGAAGGACTGATGCTGAAGCTGAAACTCCAATTCTTTGGCCACCTCACGTGAAGAGTTGACTCATTGGAAAAGACCCTGATGCTGGGAGGGATTGGGGGCAGGAGGAGAAGGGAACAACAGAGGATGAGATGGCCGGATGGCATCACCGACTCGATGGGCATGAGTTTGAATAAACTCCGGGAGTTGGTGATGGACAGGGAGGCCTGGTGTGCTGTGATTCATGGGGTTGCAAAGAGTCGGACACGACTGAGCAACTGAACTGAACTGAACAGAACAGAAGTTCTAGAAAGTTATCAGAAGCATAATCAACTGGGGTCCTGATAAATTACGTGCGGGAGTCAGTAGAGAGACACAGGGTGAGAGAAAGGTACAAAGCTTGATTCCCAAAGACTTCTGACTTGGGAGAATGCGATTCTGTGGAGGAAGGAGTGAGGCGGGGCAGCGGGGAGGGGGGCGTCGAGAGAACAGCTGGGGACAAAATAATTTGAGTTGTACATGAGATATCCAGGTGTAGTCACTGGATATTTGTCAGAAGCAAATTCTAGCTAGATACATAAATTTAGGAATAAAGATAAAGGTAGTATTTAAAACCATGAGAATGAGTATGGAGAGGTAAGAAAATAAGCTATAAGACAGGAGTCCTGAGGCTTGCAGGAATCGCAGGAAATACAATGGATGAAGACTGCCCACTGTGAGATAATAAATGACAACTGATATAAGGGTATGTGAACTAGAGAGGGAGGTGGGGGAGGGGAGTGGTGTTATAGAGAGAATAGATAAATCTGAACTTACGTGCATCATCTGAAAGGGGCTGCTTCTACTAAGAAAATTAGTACCAAATAAATATGGCCCTGATGTTATTAGACCTTCCATTTTTTAAACAAGAAGTTAAGAATTTGGATTTTCTGTGCCTTTTCTAGTATTGAATTATGTGGAAAATATAATTCATACTTAAAATTGTATGAGTCAGCATTGATTTAGCCCACCAAATTACAGTCTCTGCTTGGACAGGGTATTTAGGATTATTTGGAGATCTGATAAAGGATTAGCAGCTAGAAGAGATGTTTGGGAAACCAGAATATAGTGTCATAAAAACTGGAAACAGAATATTTCACAAAGCTTGGATGGTCTCGTGTTTAATATGCTGCTGACAAGTTTGGTAAGATGATGCCTGAAAGTGTTGGTTGGGTTTACTAGCGTGTGGAATAGGCTGTTGGTGACATTAGCAAGAGCAATTCCTCAGTCGAACTGACTACTTAAAATTAAGTAAGGTAGAGACTGCCACGTGTGGTCTCCCTGCCATTAAAAGACTTGGGCACATTCAAGTTCTCTGACCTTGCGAGTGACAAGAATGAGAACAGAACAGGAAAGATCCACATGGAGTGAATTGAATAATAAAGAACTGAAGATTTTAAATATGGATGCTGCTGAAAAGCTTCTTTGTGAAGTGGAGCAAATTATAATTGTACCTGGAAGAAAACGAGAATCAAAGTATGGACCTTTTTAAAGAATTGAATATATGAGAGAATTATTAAGAGAAGAAAAATTAAATATGCAAATTGAGTCATTTGGAGCATTGCTTTTTTTTTTTTAGGTTTTTATATACTACTTACCTAGAGCTTCCCAAGTGGCACAGTAGTAAAGAATTCACCTGCCAATGCAGGAGACACCAGACAGGTTTGATCCCTGGCCAGGAATATCCCCTGTAGTAGGAAATAGCAACCCACTCCAGTAGTCCTGCTGGGAAATCCCATGGGCAGAGGGGCCTGGCCGACTACAGCCCATAGGGTCACAAAGAGTCTGTTCTGACTGAGCGACTGAGCATGCAGACAAACACCACTAGTCTGTAGTGTAGTGCAGTGTCACTCAGTCATGTCTGACTCTTCCTGACCCCACAGACTGTAGCCCGCCAGGCTCCTCTGTCCGTGGAATTCTCCAGGCAAGGATACTAGAGTGGGTTGCCATTCCCTTCTACAGGGGATCTTTCCAACCCAGGGATTGAACCTGGGTCTCCTGCATCACAGGCAGATTCTTTACCGTTTTAGCTACAGAGAAGCACTTATCCATAGCAGTATGTAGAGAATCTCACATTGCAGAATACTCAACTGAGTATCTGAACTGTATGCAGTACTTGCAGTTACTGATGACTTAATGGATCTTTACAACAGACTAATTACATCTGTTTTCAACATGACAAAGTCATGTGTCCTCTCCAGCTTTCCTGTACATACAAATCACCTGGGGGAGGGAGGAACGTCTTGATAAAGTACAGATTTTGGTTCAGTGGGTCTCAGTTGGACTTGAAGAGTGCATTTTTAACAGGCTCCCAGGTGATAGCAGTACCACTGATCAATGAATATAGAAAGTCTTAAGAAAGAAGAGGTAACTAGCAGGTTTTTCACTGATTTTCCAGTTCTCTTTCCAGCGACCCTATGATATATTATTTCCCCCTTTTTAGAACTGAGGTAAATGATATTTAGAGCTGTTAAATAACACAAGTTAAAAAGTTTCCCCAGCTGTCAGTCAGTTGTTCATATGTTTGCTTTGGCCACTATAGCATCTTAGTTTTTGTAGATTTGTACAGATCAATTTTTCCCTCTTTAGTGAAAATTGTTGTTTTCGTTTATATTTAATTTTAAATTGCATTTGACCTATCTCCTATGCATTAAGAGTTGCAAGTTTCACTGGAGGGAATAGTTCCATTGTAGTCCTTTTCTGAAACATGAAACCTTAAGAGAGAACTAGTTATGTGTCCTGAGGAAGATGGCTTTTCATGAAGTTTGTCATGCCCTAGGCAGTTGGTAGAATCCAGTGATGAGGTGGGGAGATTGCCAGAATATTCCAGAGCTGAACCATGCAAAAATAGGTTTTATCTAGAAGTATGATATAGGTCATCATAATGTATAGTTTTATTTGACTTCTTTACTGCAGTCTAACATTGACATAAAAATATTTCTTTTAGAATGTGAAACACAGAAAGTATGCAAGGTGGAAGGCAACATATATTCATAATTGTTTAAAGAATGGAGAGACTCCTCAAGCAGGGCCTGTTGGGATTGAAGAAGATAATGGTATGTATTTATGTAAGTAAAATGATTTGGTGGAATCATAATTGTTCAATATATTACTATTCAGAATTTTTGGAAGCCATTTTACTTCCTTCATCAGGTCCAAAATCAGGTGTAAAATTATAACCTTAGGGACAAGTGAAAAATTAAGGCAAAACTGCTCTAATATCTGTTTGTGTCAACAACAGAATGGCTTGGTTTTCTCCTGCATCTGATCAGATTTCATTGCTACATGGGACAGGCAGTCCTTTTGTAGTCTATAAAATGTTTCCAAACCATAGAGAAAACTGAAAACTTATTTTTTAATAAGGTGAGTTTTGGAGGGGAAAGGGGGGTAGGTAATACTTTCACAAAATTTGTAATAGAGTATGTAAAAAATCTTAAGTGAATTTCTCATTTCCACCCTACTCTTTATCATCCCAGATTCTACTGAAACCAAAAGAAGTAAGTATTTTTTTAGTATTTTGTATATGTTTATAGAAATTATTTTTTATAAATTACTAGTAAATAGGAATATATATCCTCACTTTCTTAACACAGTTGGTATTATACACACTGTTCTTTTGATGCATCTGGATGGTTGGCTTATTTATGCATTCACTTAAGAGGTCTGTTTAGAATTTTATAATACCATTCAGTTTAAAAAAGCAGCACTATGGTTGTACATATAGCTAGTACATGTAAACTCTTGCAGCTGTTCTAGAGATGCAACATACAGCATTTCAAGTGAATTTTCTGCTATTTCTGAAAAAAAACACTTGTTTACTCTTTAGATAGTCTTTTATATATAGCACACCCTCAGAAATCTTTGACACTTGATGTTATTCTTGTTTGCAGAAGAGGAAACTGAGGTTTCAGGTTTAGCTGTCCTAATTTCATAGACCCACAGAGAAGGGAACCAGAACTGGAGTTCTTACTCTAAGTCCTGGGCTCTTTTTACTAACACTGCAGCGTGAATACTGTACTAAGTTGTTATTAAATGTTTAAAGTTGACTGTTCTAAAGCATGATTAAGTTTTGGGCTTATTTACATCACAACAGTGAAATTGGATTTTTTAACGTTTATTGCCACAACTTTATTTCTCACTTTTTCATTTAATATTTTTGAATGTTTTGCATACTTTTCTCCCTGCTTTAATGCTGTCCATAGTCAGAATGTTATATGTCAGTACTGCTGTGTACAGAACGACTAGTCATTTATAGTTGTCCAAAAGAAAAGATCTGAGATACTTAGCCTAATAAGCAAGATTCACTGTGATATGGCACCGACCTACTTTACCGACTTTATTTCCTCCTCCTGTCTCCTGTTGGCTTAATCTGCTAGGGCTGCCGCAGCAAAGTACCATAGACTGGACAGCTGAAACAAAAGGTGTTTATTTTCTCACAGTTATGGAGGTTGGAAGATCCAAAATCAAGGTCCAACAGTTTGGTTTCTAGTGAAATGTCAATGTGATTACTCCTTGAAGAAGTTCAAGGGCAATTAGATATTCTACCCAAGATTTCAGAAGAAAGATCTAGGCTAAAAGTGGTATTTTGGAGTTGTCAGTTTAAAAGGAAGAAGTGAAGCTAAAGTAAAATATTGGCTAACCCAAGGAAAATGGATTGCTTAAGAATTATAAGCAAAGATGGAACCAGCCTTTCTACACTTTTACTAATCGCGTTAGATTAGAAACTGAAGCAGAGGCACTTCTGTTATTTTAAGTAAGGTACATAAACATACATGTAGTAAATGTAAAAATACATGTAATGTTCATAATTTCAGACATTTGATTTATGTCTCAATTCTTAAATACACATTGAAAATGAAAATATCTTTGTTGTTTTAAACATATCATTATACTTTTCAGTAGTATTTCAGAGGTATCATTCTAGACACATTGAAATACCTAATGATCAATTTTGTTTTTCAGGTACTCTGAGTATCAGTGACCTCTCATCCTAAAAATTTTAACCTTTTCTCTTGAAAGTAGGAAGTGTTACATTTTGATCATTATCAGTCTCTTTTGTTCTGAAATGGTTATTTTAGGTCCTCTCTAATATTGTAGATTATTAAATATATACTATATAATTTTTGTTTTAATTTCCCAAAATTAGCTTAAATTGAGCTTGTAGTTTTTATTTATTCATTATTTTCATTCCATTTTATAGAGCTTCTGGATAGCAGAAAATTGCTAGCTATAGAATACTAATAATCCTTTAAAATATATAAGAGAATATTTTCACTATATACTTTTCAACCTATTAAATAATTTAAAACGTAGCCTGGTGTCATAATTAGGTGTTAATGTCATAACATCTAACAGTGTCTGCTTAGAAATGGCTTATGGGTCTAAAAGAAGATGTCATGAAATCTGAATATGTATTCAAAAACTTTTCTTTAAAACTGACTTTTCTTTTTTTCAATGTAGCATTGTATTCCTTGTATTATTAAATTTTACAAGATATGCTAGGTATAAAAGATACTATGTTTAATAAAAGTCTAATTTTCTGTTGTTCTGTAAGTCTAGTAAAGCTAGTAAAAAATAATAGGTACTAGGAACTTCCCTGGTGGTCCAGTAGAAGCTTCCACTGAGCTTCCAATGCAGGGCACATGTTCAATCCCTGGTTGGGGAACTAAGATTGTACATGCTGTGCAGTGCAGCCAAAAAATAAATACTATACCTTTGTTAGTTTAGAGGAAGAGGGAAAAAAAGTATTCTTATTTTTGAAAGCAGTACTATATTACCATATTGTCTAAAAGTACAGAAGGAGTCATACAATTGATACAAAAAAGCATTCTAGAAAAAATTTAGGCTTAGCTGAAGGGAAATCTGTTAACATTCAAACTCTTGAGTTTCCACATCCACTTGGTTTCAGTATCTGCAAAATGGTATTCTTTTTTTTTTTTTTTCATTTATTTGTATTAGTTGGAGGCTAATTACTTTATAATATTATAGTGGGTTTTGTCATACATTGACATGAATCAGCCATGGATTTACATGTATTCCCCAGGTATTCTTTTTAAATGGTCAACATTAACCTATACTTCAGTAAAAACTAATGAAGGTAATTTTGAGTTTTTCTTCTTTTATTCCTTATGACTACATTTTTCTCCATGGCCTTGAACTTATTTATAGTATTTGCTTCAAAGTTACTTTCCACTAATTTCAATATCTGAGTCACATCAGGGTCTTTTCCTGTCTCTTTTTCACCTGCCTCTGGTCACATTTTCTTCCTCTCCCTTCCCCCCATATCTCTAATTTTTGTATTGATAACCTTTGTAGCTCCTTTGCATTCAATTATCTTCCTTTGCAAAGTCTTCATTCTTGTTCTAGCAGACAGTTAACTTGCCTAAACTGCCCCTCTTTTCTTTCAGCTTTAAGGCTGTTGCTTTCTTCAGGGCTCCTTAGACCCTTCCCTGAGTCTGCCTGCATAATTCAAGGGCCATATAGGTGTTTAGTTCAAGTTCATACAAACATTTCAAGGCTCACTTCTCTGCAACTCCTTTTTTTGCATAGACTTTTGGGTGTCCTCAGGTGAAAAGCGACATGAAAGCAAACCTTCCCTGGTGAGATTTCTTCTGTCAAGGCTCATCTTCATTCTAATTTCTACCAACTTTTTTTTTTTTTTTTGGTAACATTTTATTTTGTATTGGGGTGGAGCTGATTAACAATGTTGTGACAATTTCATGTGAACAAGGAAGAGATTCAGCCATACATATATATGTATCCCTTCTCCCCCATACTCCCCTCCCATCTTGGCTGCCACATAACATTGAGCAGAGTTCCATGTGCTATACAGTAGGTCCTTGTTAGTTATCCATTTTAAATATAGCAGAGTGTGCATGTCCATCCTAAACTCTCTAACTGTCCTTTGTTCACTCTCCAGTGTCTTTAAAAAGTTTGTTTGTTTTCCTTCCCAGGATGTTTGTGTTAGAGTTCTCTAATATGGGAAAAAATTATTTTAGTATATATAACATCTACAAGTTCACTTAGTAAAATTCCCAAAAGTGGCTAACTCATATTACTCCTTTCTACATAGACAGCTCAATGTGAAACTTTATTCCTTTGTTTTTGTTGATTAATTTGTTGAATGACACACACAGGTAATCATTTAATAGCTAGTAAACAATAAATCTTGAGTAAAAGGCAGCTATCAGAAAAATAGAGCTCTTAGGGAAAGCATAAATGTGGTATGTTTTGCTGAAAAGTCCTCCTTTTTTTTTTCATAAATTTTAAGACTGAGTTTAAAGAATTTACTTTTAAGAAAAATATATGCATAGATTTTACAGAGTTGGAAAGTATTAATTTAAATAAATGTTATTCATATTGCCAGAGACAACTAATTATTGTAAGAAAAGGAAAAAACTAGAACAATTATTTTAAGAGAAGCTGCTTATCAACTGCATTAAATAGAATTGCACTTGAAGGTCTGTCATGTTTGTATATCAAAAGAATATTTGGCATTTTTCTTTCAAAATACAGATTTCCTCGACTTACAGTGGGGTTATATCTTGATAAACTCATCATAAACTGGAAATAACTATGATTTGAAAATGCGTTTTATAACCTACCTTACTGAACATCATAGCTTAGCCCAGGTTAACCTACAGCTGGGCATAATCATCTAGCACAAAGTCTATTTTGTAATACAGTGTTGAGTATCTCATGTAATTTATTGACTATATACTGAAAGTGAAAACAAGAATGGTTGTGAGTGTGTCAGTTGTTTAGCTTTGTGATCTCGTGGCTGACTGGGAACTGTGGCTCCCACTGCCCAGCATCAAAGAGAATACTACACCGCTTACTGCTGCCTGGGAAAAGATCAAAATTCAGAGTATAGTTTCTACCAAAACCATATCACTTTTACACTACTGTTTTTAAAAAAAAAGACAAAATCATAAATCAAGAACTGTCTGGACCTCGTTTAACATTTCATGTACATCATGTAGTAGACGTTGAGGAAAATGAAGATGCTGGAGCCACCTCTCTGCCCACTCAGCCACTTCAGCCGTCATCTTCAACGTATGACCCAAGCAACATGCCATCGAGCGGCTATGCTGGAATCCAGATTCCCCCCGGTGCCCACGCTCCAGCTAATACCCCAGCAGAAGTGCCTCACAGCACAGGTAGGAAGTTGAAGCTTAACAGGTTTGAACTCTTCCTTTCGTAAATAACAACTGCTCCTCTTATCTTATTTTTGCCTCATAATGATGGCCCTAAAGCATGAAGTGGTCTTTGAATTCCACTGGAACCCACAAAAAAAATTAAATCCTTTTCAGTGAAGTTTTTTTAATTTATATATTTTTTAAATTGAAAGATATTTGCTTTACAAAATTGTGTTCATTGAAATTTTAATACTATTTTAATTTTTTTAAAAATGAAAGAATATTTACTTTATATTATTAATAAGTATAGTGTCTATGGGCTTCCCCTGTGGCTCAGTGGTAAAGAATCTGCCAGCCATGCTGGAGACCCAGGTTCCATTCCTGGGTTGGGAATATCCCATGGAGAAGGAAATAGCAACCCACTCCAGTGTGGGAAATCCTGTGGACAGAGGAGCCTGGTGAGCTAAGTCCACGGGGTTGCAAGAGTCAGATTCAACTTATACCACCACCACCCCCGCATAGTGTCTGTACTTTCATGTGTGTTTCCCTTTTCTTTTTCTTCACCTCCCTTTCTTTCCTTTTCACTGCTATTGAAGAGTAGCACTGAAGTGAGTGGGTCTTATTTATAGGAGTGTCAGTCAGACTCCTACTGTGATCACAAGATCCATTTTTCTCTTGACTCCTTACCCTCAGTATGGGTATTATTGATGAAGGAGCCGGCTTTGAGGCACAGAATCTCAGTAGCAGTGGATTTACAGACAAGTGAAAGGAGGGGTTTCAGGTTTTTGTTTTTTTAAATATTACAAACATGTCTAAAAATAAACCACAGAAGCAATATCTACTGTCTTTGAATAAATTAGTACTATATACCTTGTTTTCATGGAAAAAACATCTGACAAAACTGCTGCTGCTGCTGAGTCGCTTCAGTCATGTCCAACTCTGTGCGACCCCACGGACAGCAGCCCACCAGGCTACTCTGTCCACGGGATTCTCCAGGCAAGAACACTGGAGTGGGTTGTCACTGACAAAACTAGTCTCCAAGAATAAGTCAGTGTCAGTAGATAAATTGTTTAAAGTTGCAGACAGCTACTCTGTTTTCTTGTATTGTTGACAGAGAATCACCTTTACTTCCAAACAGAAGGGCACTTAAAACCGTAATTTAAATAAAGCTTAACTTTAATAAAATTTTTTTCCATAAATTGTTTTTAAACTTACTTTTATCTCAGCCTACGAGTAATCTATGGTAGTAAACTATATATTTCAAAATGTTTAATAGAAGTTATCTTTGAGCCTTGATGATTCTACTATTTCTGTTATTCACCATTACTTCATTGACTTCCAGACTTTCAGCTTCTGTTTACCCAAACCATTTAGGTTATTTTGCATGAGTTGAACAACATTTAAGTTGCTTTCTGTTTTGATATTTTTGTCAAATAGAAACTATTAAGTTTTCTATTTTGACCACTGTAGGTGTGTGACTAGTCTTTTCCCTCCTGTTTTTCTCTTCCCTTCTGTTTTAAAACTTTCAACTTCATATCATCTATAAATACCACAAACATTTTTGTCTTTAAGCATATTGATGAGCATGGTTGTTTTAATGCTGATCTCTTTTGTATCATCATTCTCTGAATTTTACCCTGCCTGACTTTTCATTGCCTCATAGTCTATGTGATGGCATTAATAGACCAATTTGCATTAGTTTTGTAAGTAAAATTTCATGGAACATTGTTTTAAATATTTTATTACCTTTGGGGGAATGTTCAGTATTTCCATTGTAGAACAAAATAAGCAAAACCAGCTACATACTTAGATGTATTTGCCTTCGATAAATACTGCTCGAATATACTGGTAAGTTTAAACAGTGACCTAGAGCCTCCAACACAGTTATCCTTACAGAAGGACAAAGTGAAAATAAAGTGCACATGGAAATCACATAGTTACTACTTTCTACTCCTTGTTAAACCACACTCTACTGTTACTCATCTTTTCTCTCTCTCGGTTTTTCCTCTTTCAAAATGAAATTAATCATACTTTCATAGTTTCAATTATTAAAGAGGAAAAAGTATGAAGATTGATTACTGTGCCTAACAAAAAATCTGTATTCAGCAAATTAGCTTCCTTTTTTTTAACCTTCCTTCCTATTTGTGTGCCAAAGAAAGGATATTTAACAGCAAGTTAATGAACACTTAAAATTATTTTGTGAATCAGGAACAGTATCACAGTTGTGGATAAGGCATTGACCTTACGAAAAGGTTGACTAAAGGGTTTTATTGCTCAGTGTATCTTAGGGCAGAGTTATGGTATAGGCACATATGTATATATTTACAGTGTGTGCTCAGTTGCTAAGTCCTGTCCGACTCTTTGAAACCCCATGGACTACCACCCACCAGGCTCAGACTTTGTCCATGGGATATCCTAGGCAAGAATACTGGAGTGGGTTGCCATTTTTACATATTTACAGTATGTCTATATATCAAACATATGAGATGGAAAGTATACTTCTGGTAGGAGGGTTGTAACAGGTTGAACCATATGACCATGGTTCATAGGACAAAATAGACACAAACCATGTGTCTGTTTTTGTACAATGAAGGTGATAGAACATTAATTTCATATATTCAAACTAACAGACTCCTGCTTAGAATATCCAGACATAAAGATAGATATCAAGAAGTAGTCTTCTATTTATTTTAAGAAGTTTTCTGCCATAAATAGTTCATTTCAATCCATTTAAATGTGGCATTAGCCTTATTTTTTTTTTCCCACTTATGTTCTTTAGCATGAGGCATAAAATTGAAAATCTTAGAATTGCTTTAAGGCATCAGGTATATGTTCTTACAGACTTAGCATTTAAATAATTATCATGGCTATTTCACAAACTTATGCTGACAGAATTATATTAGATATTGCTATCCCTAATTTTCAAACTAAAGAAAAGCCGTTATCCTGAAGAAATATACATACTAGCATAGCTAATAACTGACAGTCCTAGAATTTGAACCCAAGTCTTTTGCATTTCATGTTTTTGGCACCTCCCTTCTATTTCCCTTCCTCTGAAAAACTATAAGTTTTATCAGATTAAAACATACATGTCTCATAATATTTTTCTCCTTAAGATTGGCTTAGATATGGAAATCACCGTTTGCTGGCAAATTTTTCTATTACATTTAAAACAGTTTTAAAAAATTAGTTCATAGTAGCCCAATAGAAAATGAAATAACATTTTCAGTTTATAAATATAGCAGATGTTTCCCCTCTTACTCACTTCAAGAATGATTTACTTTCTCTCATATAAAGGTCCAGGATGTACTTTTATCAAAGGGAAATCCTTAAGATAACTGAAAAGAATAGTATGTACTAATATACAGTGTTTAGTTCTTCCACAGAAAAGCAAAGAGGGTGCAAGGAGGGCGGGTTTAGTGATTAAACAGCCAAGTGTTTGGCTCTTTGTGCCTTTACCGCTGTGTACTATCAGATAGAGGTCATACAGCCTACTGTTTTTTCCTTCTCTTAAAATATGCTTTCTACAGTCTGTAAATATTGAGGAAGAACATCTCAGTAGTAAATCTAAATAGATTAAAAATTAGTTTAGAATTAATGCAAACCTTTTAATTATAAAGGCAGCTTACCTCATATCTAGATCAAAAACTTCGCTCTTTTATTTTTGTTAAGTGACAGAAGGACTGCATTTGAGCTCTGCTATCCAGCCTTCAAAGTGTTTTGTATTCTGGCCTGACTGTTTCTGTCAGCACTATTTTTCCATGATTATTCTGAAGTTTACTCAACCCAGTGTTCCTACGTTTGCTTACAGTGTTCCTCGTAGTTATCATGTCTTTCTCTTTCACTGCCTCTTCAAATGTTACTGCCATTCAGGGTTCTGTTTAATTATACTTCTTGCATCATCTTCTTGAGTTTTCTTACCAACACTCATTTTTCCTTTTCTAGATTTCCCACACCATACAGTCAGGAGAACAATTTAGTACTTAATTAGAAGTCATAAAGTATTTAATTTTTGAGTGTATATAATCTCATCAAATAGGCTATATAAAAACCATCTGCTAAAAAAAATTATCCAGAAGTTACTTGTTAACATTTCTTTTTTGTTAAGTGTAGAAATTTCCAACACACTTCTGTCTTCCCCAGTATTGTTTTATGGTGACATCATTCCAACATATTGTAGTATAACGGGCTACAACCCATTTGCAAAATAACAAATGAAACCTTTACAAATTGAGGTAAGAAGGAAAAATAAGTAGCTTAGGGCATTTTAAAATGATAAATTAACGTAAACTAAAAACCATTCTTACTGATTTAAATGGTATTTATACACTTAGTTGAACCTCTGTGCTAGGCCCCCACAGGAATGTGTCATGGTAGCTACCGAGGACTTAGGCCTTGGTCCCTGTGCATGGAGACAGATGAGAAGCCATGTCTTCTCACTGCTGCATGAGACTTGCTGAGCAGCCTATATTGTCAGTTCAAGCCTTGGTTGAATGACTCTGATCAGAGTTCTTAATAAATGCAGACTATTTGTGGGTTTTTCTTTTTTCAGTATCACTCAAATAAAATTTTACTGTAATACATAATGGTCTTCCCAGGTGATGCTAGTGGTATAAAACCCACCTGCCAATGCAGGAGACATAAGAGACACAGGTTCAATCCCAGCATCGGGAACATCCCCTGGAGGAGGAAATGGCAACCCACTCCAGTATTCTTACCTGGAGAATCCCATGGACAGACGAGCCTGGCAGTCTAAGTCCATGGAATCACAGAATCAGATATGACTGAAGTGACTAACACACACACAAAATAGATTATCTCTGTAAATTCTCTTTTGTTCTTGTTAAGTAATATTGCCTACTTAATCATCTGGAGATGTGCAAGGAAGCATTTAAAAATTAGTGCAGGATGCTGACCAAGGAAACCTTACCTTCTCCATAGAGAAAGGGGTTTGTTAGGAGGATTTTAATGTACTCAGAAACACAAATTACTTAGTAAGAAATGACATAGATATCCAGATTATCTGTGAAGAGTTGTCAACTTACCCTTTTTTTCCTAAAGATCTGTGTGAAAAATATTTGTAGTCACCAACATGTGTTTTTATGCTCAGCTGCCTCAACTGCCTGGACTTCTCTAGGTAATTTCTAAAGAGCCCTGTCGAATCTTGCATTCTTAAGTTTAAAAAAAAAAAAATGAAATTGTGTAATTATTTGCCTTTGAAAGTTCAAGTTTTATGGGAGAATTATGTCATATGTTTATAACTTAATAAATTTTGTTAGAGCCTTGTCACTGCAGGAGACCCAGGAAGATGTGGGTTTGATCCCTGGGTCAGGAAGATCCCAGGGAGGAGGAAATGGCAACCCACTCCAGTATTCTTGCCTGGAAAATTCCATGGATAGAGGAACCTGGTGGGCTCTAGTCCCTGGGGCTAAAAAGAGTTGGACAGGGCCGAGCTACTAACCCCACACACACATGCATATTTCGTTAGCAATTTTTAAAATCGAGCAAAACATAGTCATTGGATTGGTCAATTTAAATTTGTGTGTCTCTTGACTTTGCAGTTATATAATTTTTCCTATAAATTAATTCATACATATATATGTATACACTGTATAAGATTGTTTGCTAGTATTAGCTATAGCAGAAGATTGGAAACAACCTAAATGTCCTCAGTGATGGATAGCATTATAAACTTTGTGTTCACGTATGTAATGGAACACTACTATATATACCCATTAAAAAGAACAAGGCAGATTTATATATTTTAATCTGGAATTATTGCTAAGGCATATTAAGTGAAAAATGCACAGAATAGTGCAGTATGCAGACATAGTACCATTAGCAAAATATTAATTTATTAATAACACGTATGCTGAAGTATGCCTTCCCCGACCAGATTTAGATTTAGGCAAGAACACAGATTTCTTAGCAAAGTACATTTCTTTATTATACATGCATACACTGGTCTGAAAACACACACATTTTTATGTGAATAGAAGGGTGCCCTAGAAACTAGTGATAGTCCTCAAGTGGAATAGAATGAGAGGTAAGCTTTTCACTTTTTTGCACCCTTTTTGGGGTAGTTGGGTTTTTTTTGTTTTTTTTTTTTGTTGTTGTTTTTTGGCTATTTAAAATTTGTACTTGACTTTTCATCCATACCCCTTCGGACTTTGGAAATTTTTGTTTCATTTTTAGTTAAAAAGGAAGATTTATATGACTTAATAAAAATAGCACCAAGGCTGTGAAAGTGAAACTAGTTTGCCAAAACAAAATTGAATGATATAAAATAGTATATATTTAAACTGTTTTCCTTTGGGTGGGAAATAATAAGGTCCTTCAAAGTCAAGAAGTCCTTCAAGTAAAATTCGTACCTGCAGGATATATTTGAGAACCTAAGTCAAGCCATAGCTCTAGAACTCTCATTGCCCCTATAAACTCCCCAATTTGTTTTCTTTCTCTCTTCTGTTACTTTCTTCTTGTCCTAGTGTCTTTCCTACTTTACACTACTGCTATTTAGTCACTAAGTTATAGTCTGACTGTTGCAACCCCATGGACTGTAGCAAGCCAAGCTCCTTTCTCCATGGAATTTTCCAGGCAAGAATATTGGGATGGGTTGTCATTTCCTTGTCCAGGGGATCTTCCCAGCCCAGGAATCGAACTCTCATCTGCTGCTTGGCAGTCAGATTCTTTACTACTGACCCACCTGGGAGGCCCCCTACTACACACTGCCTGTTCAGACTGAACCTCAGCTTGGGGCAGAAGAATCCTGCTTTCCATTTGAGTCTGTTGATTGAGAGTAATCAGCTTTTCTTCTTCATTTGCTTTCTTGTTGATTGAAACATCTTGTTAATTGAATAATTTTTGTTAATTGAAACTCTTTGGAAGTTTCAACAGTTTATGTTAATTTTTTAGATGACTAATAGTCTTTAGTATATTACTTAGCATTAATCAAGAATGCTAGTTATCCACTGAATATGATCATCATGACAAGTTCTAATAGGAAGTCATAACTAATTGCTTCTTGGGTGTGTAAAATATTATCTTAAAAACATATAAACTGGAAAATTGGAATATATAATTTGTAAATTTCATTGACAGAGATGAAATGGGACTCATTCCATAAATTAAACTAAGTCATAATTATATCCTATCTTGTCCTCAAAATTACTTAATTATATTGAAAGCTAGGAAGGGAATCTGTTACTTCTATAGAGATATGGTAAGCTTTATTGAGAAGCACCTTGAAGTAGTAGATGTGATCGAAAATGCAAAATATGTTATAAGAATATATATTGCCTAATAACACATCTGTGTAAATGCTCAAAATTTATTTTTCTGCATATTTCTTATACCAGCCTCCAACATCAAATAAGATGTATTTCAAATTACAGTTCATTGAGATTTCAGGAAAGTAATTAAGTGAAGTAATGAGATTCTTCCATGATCCTCTGAGTGCTTTCCTAGTATATAATTAAGAGATTGAGAGTGTAACATTTTTGTACTCATTTGTGGTTTTCTGATGTGCAGGTGTAACAGGTAACACTATCCAGCCTACTCCACAGACTATTCCGGCCATTGATCCTACACTCTTCAGTACAGTTTCCCAGGGTAAGTCAGCTGTTTTATGAAGTATAGTGTATCTCCTATTTGGGGGCATTGTTCTGTGCTTTTATCTTGGGATGCCTGTATTTGAATGTCTAGGTAATTTGAAACACACTTCTTTAAATGTCTTTATTTACCAAATTCTCCAATAAACCAAGATTATTTCTTAGATCAAAAATATTTAAATCCAAAGACATTCCCCCTTTTTTTTATGTACTGCTGGATATAGTGGTACAAACATGTAACCAAAGCTATCATGGAAGCTTCTGTTAGTTTAGTTCAAGATTACCTCGTGATTTGATTACAGTCTTCTTGCATTGTCAGGCAGATTCTTTACCACTGAGCCACCAGAGAAGCCTCATGATTACAATCTTCTTTACCTGCACTGAGTTAGTAGATTATCTAAGAGAGAAACTAACCATAGTGAAGATAGAAGTCTCTGAGGATTGTTATTTTGATTGATTGGTTCATAGGCTAAGTGATTAGTTTATTAATTCCAATCTTTTTAGCTTTTCTGGAAAGAAACAGAACAACTTGGTTGTTCTGTTTGTTTAATTTAGTCTTTTTCAGAATTTTCTTCATATGTCTGATGAGATTAGTCCTTTTATATGTAAGGTGAAGACCTTGATTGGTTACTTTCAGTAGCTGTTATTGAATTTCCCTGATGTTATGTCTGCAGGTCTGTTTTCCCACTTGATTTTTCTGTTCTCCCTTGTGAAAACAGGCTATTCAGCTTCCTCCTGCATCTCAGCCATGGATGAGGAGATTTTTTTTCTTGGAGGGTAGTGGCAAGGGGTGTACCACACATACCTTGTCAGTCCTCAGGAGGTTAATTCCATGATTTTAGAGAGACATTCTCTGTCTTTTTAACCTGGGGTGTCATGTGAGAGATGGGAAAGCAGTGGGGCTGAGGATGTGCATATATGCAGAGGGTGACAGAGTGGGGCTGTTAGACGGATGGAGTACAGACCCCTCACCCCACTTCTCTGAAGTTTCTCTAGGTAAGCTCCACATAAAGGCCTCCTACAAACATGCTTTGAGCTGGAATGTTTTTCCACTCTTATCTAACAGCATGTGTGTTAGCCACTCAGTCGTGTATGACTCTTTGCAACTCCATGGGCTGTAGCCCACCATGGAATTCTCCAGGCGAGGATACTGGAATGGGTTGTCATTCCCTTCTCCAGGAGATCTTCCTGACATAAGGATCAAACCCAGGTCTTCTGCATTGCAGGCAGAATTTTCTTCACTGTCTGAACCATCAGGGAAGCCCATCTAATGGCATACCTCCACTTAATTTCTAGTTTTCTAGGAATTTCTTTAAATCTCTTGTCAGTTACCTGTTCCAGTTTTTACACTCTTGACTTCTCTGCTTTTCCTTCAGTTTTAGGATTTATTTCCTTTTGTTTTTTACCTTATCATTTTAATATGGTTTCAGAAGAAAAAATTACATATGCTAAGTCTGCCATCTTACCCAACCAAACTGTCAGGTATGAATGCAGAATAAATATTATTAAATATGTAAGGGTTCTGACGTTTCACCTACCACGTACAATTTCTAAAGAAGTTACCAGAGGATATACTCCATCAAGAGAAGAAATATGAGATGTAAGAAATGGTGGAATTAACCTTATGTCACCTAACAGGAAAAATTCCATTGACAGCTTTTCCATAGGCTTGAAAAACAGTTGCTCTAAAATTAGAACAGAAAACCAAAGCACCCCTCCTTTAAGAAAACTGAAGTGGATTCCATGCAATGTATACAATAAAAAGCTGTAGAATGTGAAAGAAATGGATAAGAAGCCATAGATTTTGTCTGCCAAGAAGAATGAAAATATCCAACAAAACATTTTAAATTGTACAAGAAATTTCAAGTAAGAAGCAAACTGAAATATGCCATGATTTTGAACAATAATAGAATTATGAAATATAAGAAAAGGGATTTTGTTTGACTTGGACACAAAGAACATTCTCCTTGAAATGGCATAGGCTTATCACAAACAGTATTTTATTCAGGACAGAATATAAATCAACACTGACAAGTTGAAGGTAGAGAGGTATTTCAAGAGGTTGAAAGGTGGAATAAAAGAAGGTTCTATTTAGGGGGAGTGTCCAAAAGTGAAATGTTGAAATTTTTTTCTAGAGTTGATGGACTGAGAAAACAGAAGTAAGCAACTAAAAAATTTGAAAAAAAATAATAAATTTAGGAGGAGACAGGGTAAGAAAGAAGGAAAGAATGTAAGTGGCTAAATACTTTACCTTTTATAGCAGAGAGGAGGCATTACAAATAGCTGAGAAAAGAAAAGAAGTGAAAGGCAAAGGAGAAAAGGAATATACACATCTGAATGCAGAGTTCCAAAGAATAGCAAGGAGAGATAAGAAAACCTTCCTAAGTGATCAATGAAAAGAAAACAATAGAATGGGAAAGACTAGAGATCTCTTCAAAAAAAGTAAAGATACCAAGGGAACATTTCATGCAAAGATGGGCACAATGAAGGACAGCAATGGTGTGGCCCTAACAGAAGCAGAAGATATTAAGAAGAGGTGACAAGAATACATGAAAGAACTATGCAAAAAAAAAGATCTTCATGGCCCAGATAACCACAGTGGTATGATCACTCACCAGGAGCTAGATCCTGGAATGTGAAGTCAAGTGGGCCTTAGGAAGCATCACTATGAACAAAGCTAGTGGAAGGGACAGAATTCCAGCCAAGCTATTTCAAATCCTAAGGAATAATGCCATAAAAGTGCTGCACTCAGTATGCCCGCAAATTTGGAAAACTCAGCACTGGCCTCAGGAGTGGAAAAAGTCAGTTTTCATTCTAATCCCAAAGAAAGGCAATACCAAAGAATGCTCAAACTACCGCACAATTGCACTCATCTCACACGCTGGCAAGGTAATGCTCTAAATTCTCCAAGCTAGGTTTCAACAATTCATGAACCAAGAACTTCCAGATGTTCAAGCTGGATTTAGAAAAGGCAGAGGAACCAGAAATCAAATTGCCAACATCCCCTGGATCATAGAAAAAGCAAGAGAATTCCAGAAAAAATCTACTGCTTCATTGACTACCAAAGCCTTTGATTGTGTGAATCACAACAAACTGTGGAAAATTCTTCAAGAGATGGGAATAGCAGACCACCTTACCTGCCTCCTGAGAAATCTGTACGCAGATCAGGAAGCAATAGGAAGAACTGGACATGAAAAAACAGACTGGTTCCAAATTGGGAAAGGAATACATGAAGGCTGTATGTTGTCACTCTTTATATAACTTATATGCAGAGTACATCATGGGATATGCCAGGATGGATGAAGCTCAGTCTGGAATCAAGATTGCCTACAGAAATATCAATAACCTCAGATATGCAGATGACACCAATCTTATGACAAAATGCAAAGAGGAACTAAAGAACCTCTTGATGAAAGTGAAAGAGGAGAGTGAAAAAGCTGGCTTAATACTCAACATTCAAAAAACTAAGATCATGGCATCTGGTCCCATCTCTTCATGACAAATAGATGGGGAAACAATGGAAACAGTGAGAGACTTTATTTTCTTAGGCTCCAAAAAATCACTGCAGATGGTGACTGCAGCCGTGAAATTAAAAGACGCCTTCCCCTTGGAAGAAAAGCTGTGACCAACCTAGACAGCTTATTAAAAAGCAGAGACATTACTTTGCCAACAAAGGTCCATCTAGTCAAAGCTGTGGTTTTTCCAGTAGTCATGTATGGATGTGAGAGTTGGAGAGTAAAGAAAGCTGAGCATCGAAGAATTGGTGCTTTTGAACTGTGGTTTTGGAGAAGACTCTTGAGAGTCCCTTGGATTGCAAGGAGATAAAACCAGTCCATCCTAAAGGGAATCAGTCCTGTATAGAGTCAGACACAACTGATTGACTGAAATGATCTGAAAAACTTATAAATCAAGAAACAGTGGTATAAGATTATTATCTTTTGGAGTTAGGGAAATAACCTAGGGAAAACACAATCATTATTTGGTTTAAAGAGAAATCCCTGTATACCTAATTGATAAAACTATGCCTTTCCAAGGTTGATTTATCTGATCTTGACAGAGGACTATTGTTCAGTCGTTAAGCCATGTTTGACTCTTTTCAACCCCATGGACTGCAGCATGCCAGGTTTCCCTGTCCTTCACTGTCTCCCAGAGTTTGCTCAAAATCATTTCTATTCGTCGGTGATGATATCTAACCATCTCTTCCTCTGCCAACCCCTTCTCCTTTGCCTTCAATCTTTCCCAGCATCACGTCCTTTCCAATGAGTCAGCTCTTCTCATCGGGTGGCCAAAGGATTGGAGCATCACCTATACCGTCAGTCCTTCCAGTGAATATTCAGAATTGATTTCCTTTAGAATTGACTGGTTTGATCTCCTTGCAGTCCAAGGGATGCTCAAGAGTCTTCTCCAGCACCACAGTTTGAAAGCATCAGTTCTTCAGCACTCAACCTTTATGGAACATACATGACTACTGGAAAAACCATAGTTTTGCCTATATGGACCTTTGTTCACAAAATGATGGCACTCCTTTTTTTCTTTTTTTTTGTCTTTGCTTTTTTAATACACTGTCTAGGTTGGTCATAGCTTTCCTTCCAAGGAGCAAACATTTTTTAGTTTTGTGGCTGCAGTCCCTATCCTCAGTGACTTTGAGGTAAAGATGTGAGAGTTGGATCATAGAAGAGGCTGATCTCCAAAGAATTAGTGCTTTCCAGTTGTTGTGCTGGGGAAGACTCCTAAAAGTCCATTGGACTGCAAGGAGATCAAACCAGTCAGTCCTAAAGGAAATCAATCCTGATTATTCATTGGAAGGATTGAAGCTGAAGCGCCAATATTTTGGCCACGTGATGTGAAGAGCTGACTCATTGAAAAAGACCCTAATGCTGGGAAAGATTGAGGGCAGGAAGAGAAGCCGGGGACAGAGGATGAGATGGATGGCATCATGGACATGAGTTTGAGCAAACTCCCGAAGGTCTGAAGGACTGGAAGCCTGGCATGTTGCAGTTCATGGAGTTGCAAAGAGTCAGACATGACTTAGCGACTGAACAACAACAATCTGTGATTCACAACAGTGAGGACCAACTATGATTGTAATCTTTAATACTCAACAAGTATTTGGAGGCATTGTATATGTATAAGTACATTATTTTAAATTTAAAATTTTAAATTTAAATGTTTTAATTTTACATTATTTTAAATCTTAAATTTAATGTTTAATTCTGTGTGAACTTAATGTTTTTTTAAATTATTTAAATTATTTCCTAATAATTTAAAGTAAATATGGCTTTTTTATAGCCATTCATTGAAGTTATTCAGCACTTATGAGTGCCTGACAACTGGGTTAGAAACTTTAGGATACATTACTTTAGCATTCTATTTTGAAAATTTTAGAAAATATTAATTTGGATAAGAATTTAGTATCAGAGTACCTGGAATTGCTACATACTTTGAAGTAGGACTTCAAATGTCAAAGTTTTCATTTTATGCTTTATTTTCTGGCAAAATTAAAGGCAACTAAGAGAAAAGCAATTATATTTATGTATGTTCATTTAGAAAGGGAATCAAAATATATTATCTTTTCATTGTATTGTGTACCCCCAGCCTTCTGATCAGTTCTTAGGGTCCTCATTAAAATTTCTATAAAGAAAATATTTATTTCCAAAGACACAAAGTCAGTTTTTAATTTCACTTTTAGAACTATATATTCAAATATAAATCTTAGATTAAATATTTCCAGTATTTTTTTTTTTTACCCAAATTATTTTCCTGGGTCTATCCTTGTTAAACATATGTGTATCTAGATAGAAAGCTTGATGAGAATCAATTTTGAACAAAGAACTAATAAGGATTGTTTAGGTTTGATTGTGTAGTTTAATAATATGTTTTAGTTAATCCTTAACCCTTCACATGCTTAAAAAAATTTAGATAATGTATGTAATATTTGCATAAAGTTTGTTACATAATTTTTTATTTATATGTATATTCTAGTTCAAATGAGGTTTGAATGTCTTAGACTGTATGTGTTGTTCCATAAAAAGAGAGTCTCAACAATTCTGACATAAATACCAAAGCTACTTTCCTTATTTTATACAGAATATGAATATAATTTTTTGCAGTTAATTTGCCAATATATAAAGACTTCCAGTTGATGACTTCTGGAAAGAAAATCTCATAGAAGTCATTATGCACTGGCATATGTATAGTTTATATTAATAATTAAATTTAAAAGCATAAAGAAAATTTATTCAGATACAACTAGGGGTTGGGGAAAGACCTTCATATTTTTATATAAACTTAAACATTTTCTGTAATCTTGAGTATAAGCATTTAGCTAACCTAAATAACACTTTTTATATTCTTTATAAATGTTTTCATTACTCTGTTTTTCTCTTAGGAGATATCCGACTAACACCAGAGGACTTTGCTAGGGCTCAGAAATATTGCAAGTATGCTGGGAGTGCTTTGCAGTATGAAGATGTCAGCACTGCAGTGCAGAATCTGCAGAAGGCCCTCAAGTTACTGACTACAGGCAGAGAATGAAGCCTTTGTACAACATCCATGCATTTTTGGCTTAAAGAACTAACAGTCCACTACTCTATCTTCAGCCTATCAGGAGCACAGTTTTAAGGAAGATTTCAGTTCCATTGACTCTAACAATGAAATCTGTGTCTGTGTATCAGATTCCTCTTGAAGTATTCATCAGCAGCCTCATCCAGTTTTCATTGTCCATTTAGTGGATCCAGTAGTCTCTGAGTATATAGCTCTCTAATGTGAGCAAGGTCCTAAAATGCCCACTGAACCCTGCTTGTTCAAGAAATGAAAACACTTCTATAAAATGTATTGGGAATTAGCTTTGTATCTTAATCTAAATAAATGAAGGAATCTTATAATCTATAATTTGAACAAACAGACCATAATCAGTTTGCTATAAAAGTCTGAACTTAACTTTTAATAAAGACTGCCAGAATATTCTAGATTAGAGATCATATTTCTGTTTTCTCAGGATTAATTAAACAGATACAAATGTTCTAAATTGTTAGATGAATCTGAAAGAGATTATATTCAAATTTCAGTTTATACTCAAATGTAGCTACACTAAAAAGTAAAATGTTCATGAAAGGAAAAAATAATGAAGTAAAGAGGTAGCATCAGTTCTAGACGTGAGAATAATGTTGGTTGCTCAACTGTTTTCCCTTACCCGCTGACACTTAAGGTGAATTGGTATTTGCTTCCTAGGCAGTTTGACTGCATGTATTAGAGAATGAAAACAAGATATTTGTAGTAATGCCTGGAAACTTGGTGCTTTTGAGTTAAGGTTCTCCTCTGCTGCTATGGAATGGATTCCATAGAGTGTATAGCTATGAATGATGCAGACTATAAGAACATGATTCTCAGTTGTTAAGTTTATAAGTTTTTTGTGGGGAATTATGAACTTACTGTGTCACCTGCATTTGTGCTGTGTAAAAAATAAATACAAGGTTTCTTTTAACTAGTTTGACTTATTGCAGAGCCAGATACCATTTTTGCATGCTGAAATTGTCACTTTTTTAAAGTCACAGTTTTTTAAATGAGAGAAATTTGGCAGATATACCTGAAATTTATCTGGTGTATTTCATTCATTACACTAATATTTGGAATCTTTTAACATAGGGGTCAGCAAACTGTGGTCTATGGGCTGGCCACTTGTATAAATAAAGTTTTACTGAAACTGAATTATATCTATTTATGTTCTGTGCGTGGTTGCTTTCCATGACTACAGAATTATTCAGCCTGCCAGTCTAAAATAGGTACTACTTGCTCCTTTATGGAAAAGTTTGCTGACCCCTGTTCTAACAGTCTGTTTGAAAGAAAATGAATCATTAACTCATAATGTCTTTCTGTTTTTCTTTGCATAAGTGTAGTGCTGTTGTGTAGAGTTTGATAGAATGAATATGCAGAATAAACGGTTCTAAATTATTATAAAAACAAGCCCCCCAAAAACAAGCTTCCTGAAAACTATTTTCATATCTTTCACAGCTAAATTCTTACAACATTTGTAGAGTTCAACATTTGCATCTGCAATTCCAGGGTTCTGATATAGCTCTGTGGAACTTTATTGAAATAGAAAAATGACTTGGATGATCTTTCATGTTATAAACGGTAAATGTAAACTATAGCTCAGCAAATTTTAGTTCAGATCCTAACATGTCTGGCCACTGGGAAGAAAACTGTCACCTCCCATTTTACACCCAACCTATTGCTCCCAGTTGGGAGAGCACATGGAGAGGAGAAGATGCTATGAAAACCAGAGAGAAGAGGGCTTTGTCATAGCAACTCCTGTCTGTAAAATGGAGGTGACACCACTAGCCACCTTAGAGTTCAATATGAAAAGTGAAATACTGCACATGAAATACTCAGCAATCCATAAATGTTTATTGTTATTAACAGTAATGTTGCGATGATAATATAAATTGATAATTTCCTGAATATCAAGAAATCCCAGTTGTCTCTGCAGCCCATTACTTTAAAATGCTTTCTTGCAGGAAGAGATTGAACTATAAAGGTTTTTTAACTTTGTGATTCTGCATATAAAATCTGACAGAAGAAAGAAATTTTCTGACATATCACTAGGGTTAAGTAATTTTCACTTGGTCAGTCAGCATGTATTTATTGAGCAGCGACTATGTGCCTGGTATTGTTCTTTGCATGAAGAAACAGCAGAAAACAAGAAGAAAAAAAAACAAATCCCTGCCTCAGAGTTTTATTCTAATAGGGAGGAAATAGATACACTTAATAAAAAAAAGAATATCATATATTCTATTCAACTAGTCACATTTGAAAGAAACCCTTTAGGTAATCTGATGGCCCCTCAAGTTTTAGTAATTTACCCCTACTCCCATCAGAAAGATTGAGCCTAGGAGGAAGATTCCTCTAAAGTGTGGTCACTGGACCCCATCAGCATCACAACAGGAATTTGAAAGTTCTGAAATCACATTTTAGGAACTTCCATATTAGATAGTGATAAATTCTCTAGAGAACACCAGAGTATGGAATGGGAAATGCTTGGGGGTGTGTGGGGGCCTGTGCACAATTAAATAGGATAAGCCTCACTGAGGTGACTGTTGAGTGAAAAAGGAAAGGAAGAACATTTGTGGCACAGGGAGGTCACAAGAGAAGAGAAGAAAAGTGAGGAAGGCTGGTGAAGGAGTGAGAAGCTCAGGATCACACAGGATTTTTATGAAAGACTTGGCTTTTCCTCTGAGCAAGACAGGGAGCCAAAGGATTTGGACAGAAGAGTAGCCTGGTAAGACTTTAAAAAGGATCATCTTGTCAACTATGTTGAGACAAAGACCATAATGTGGACAAGGGTGGAAGCTGCAAGATGAGTTAAAAGTATTGTGGGACTTCCTGGAGGTCCAGTAGTTAAGAATGTGCCTACCAATGCAGGAGACACGGGTTCAATCCCTGGTCTGGGAAGATTCCACATGCCACGGGCAGCTAAGGTGGTACACCAACTACTGAGCCTGTGCTCCACAACACAAAAGCCACCACAGTGAGAAGCCCATGCAGGACGACCAAGAGTAGCCCCGACACCACAACTAACCCAGCACAGCCGTAGATAAATGAGTACTGTAATAATTAAGGTGATGTCACAACGGCTTAGATCAAGGATAGAAGTGGAGCTTATAGGATGTAATGGGTTTCTGGCTATTTTTTTTAAAGGAGAGCCACAGTATTTCTGGTAAAGCAGATCTGACACATAGGCATAGAAGGAGTGAAGGTTGATCGCAAGATTTTAACTTAAGTGCTTGGAGTCGTCGTTAATAGCAGTAGGGAAAGTGGCCGAATTCTGCTGACATTTAAGGCTGAAGTGCAGTGTTCCCAAGTTCTTGTGACCATCCCAAGTAAAACTATTTGATAACATTGTTTTGTCGATACAGACCGAGGAGGAAGGAAAAACAAGATAAGTTCTGTCTACATTGATTGTCACAGACATCTCACCAAATCACTGCTGAGCTGGAGCTAGAAGCCAAGAATGGTTCCCAAACCTTTGGTCAAGGAAATTTGCAGGCTTCAAGATTACACCAAGCCAAAGACCCTGGTTGCAGGTCTAGTGTTGATATAATTTATTTATATATGACTTCTAGAAATCTGGTGTTGCTGTGTGTTGGTTCAGAAAAGGTTATATACTATGCTTTCTAAAGAAATTTAAATCCTCATAGCAGCGTTAACATCTGCAACTCTGAAAGAACAAAGGGACTCGGGGTTAAACAGTTATCTGCAGAGCTATCTCTACCCCATTCCCATTTTTTTTTAACTTGACTCATTTTATGTTCCTAAGCAATTGGATCAGATACCTAGTTTGGATCGTACGTAAACCTTCAGCAGTAGAGAAGTTTTTTCTTAGATCACAAAATTTTAAGGCATCCTTCATAAGGAGGGTAAGCATACCTGGTTGGTTGTAATCTTTGACATCTGTGTGGGATTCTGAGACCTAACAGCTCATTTAGTAGAGTATTCTTATGGAGGATTAATTTCAACCAAGTGACACTTTAATAATAGTGAATATAACTAACACTTGAGTATTTAATAAATGCTAGGCCCTGATTTGAGTATTTTACATGTATTCATTTAATCTTGCCAGTGATCCTGAGAGGTGAGTCCCTGTTTTACAAATAAGAAAACAACCACAGGATAATAAATTTGTCTCCCACGTGGCACTAGTGGTAAAGAACCCACCTGCCAATGCAGGAGACATAAGCATCGCAGGTTCAGTCCCTGAGTCGGGAAGATACCCTGGAGTAGGAAATAGCAACCCACTCCAATATTCTCGCCTGGAAAATTCCATAGACAGGGGAGCCTGGCAGTCTACAGTCTATGGGGTTGCAAAGAGTGTGTGACTAAGCTCACACACACACACACACACATAGCTAGTATTGAAATTTTCTAAGCTCAGACTTGTGCTCGCTTCGGCAGCACATATACTAAAATTGAAATTTTCTAAGCTCAGACTGCCTATTTCAGACAATGATATTATCATCCATATAGGTACAGGATCAGTTAAATTATGAGAAAAGTGAGATGTTATCAAGTTCACTGGACAATTCCTTTTTTTAGTGGGAAACGTAGCAACTAGACTTTTCTATTATCTGGACAATATGTTCCAATTATTAGTAACTGTGGGTGAGCCCATGGCCTGAAAACAAACGAACTTTGAGTCCAGGGAGAAAACAGACAGATTTGATGACTGGTGTGATGAATTTATATGTCATCCTGGAGAGAGTCCCACATCACTTAGGGAGTCCTGGGTTTTCCAGACTTACCAGTTTTCCTTAAATTTTAAACAAAATATTTTTCCTAATTATGTAGCCATCACTTATACAGATTTCAAATATATGGACTTCAAAGTAAAATTAATGTTTATTATCAGTTGTTTCTTCAAATTAAATTTCTGCCTGAAAGTATGAGACAGGAACACCTATCCCTTACTTTAGGTAATCCCTTAAAGTTGGGAGGAAAGACTTGATTGCATAACAATAATCCATGAATACAACTTTCTA